CATTTCAATACATTTCCAAACATAACATTCAAATCAATAATCAATTACTTGTTTCGTAGATATTCTTCAGGAATGGATCCACAGGTTTGCCATCAATTGTGTTGGCATTGCTTTGGTTGGCATTCAATTGAAGGCCGAGTCCTCCCAAATAGTCTGTCGACACGACAACCTTCTGGTCATTCCTCTGAGCACTGATACTAACGGTTCCGGCAAAAGAGATCTCCAGTTTTAATTTTTCCTGAGAGTTGTCTCCAATGAATGACTTCAACGCCAAGTGTTCACCTGTTTTCAGATTAAATGAATTAAATATAACTAATAATAAAACGATTGATTCTTTCAAACAAACCATTAGTTAATTGTAGGAGAAGTTTATTGGGTTGAGAGTCAGCACCGTTTGGATTGAGTCTAGAAATAATAAAATTAATGAATGAATGAATGGATAAAAACAGTATAAAATATATAAGAAATAACTTACAATTGGATCAGATTTTGTGCAAAGTTTTGTAAATCTGTTTCACCGATCACTACAACTGAACAGACACTCAAAACAATGAGAGTGAAAAATGTCGACATTTTCAGACTATTATATTATATTTGGTTTAATTATTAATATTTAAATCAATTTATTCAATGATTTATATGAACTTATTATTTGATACAAATTGTGTCTCTATTTATACCTAAGAATCGTGTAAAACGTAACACTTTTATCACTTATTTAATGACTAATTGTTTTGATAAACGATTTCATGAGTGTATTGTTATTAAGAAACTGATAAAAGACAAGTTCTTTGGGTTTATCTTTTAATAAAATAATATGTCTTTATTCTCGTCACAATAATACATTGACACCTTTAATATGTTTGTATATTATAATGATTACAATTAGTTAATGAAATAAATAAATGTTTACAAAATAAGATTTACCTGCGCTATTATCTGTCAAATTAATTTGTCTTTATCTTACTAGTTAGGTTATTTTTATGAAAATAATTTTAATTAATTTTCTTAAGACAAATGAAATAATTTTACCTAAAATTAAAGTATTGATATTATACAATTAATTATACAAAAAATATATCCTCATAAAGATTGATATTAATAAAAACAATAGCCACACTATTTAAATACAATGTTAACTTATAAATATTTTATTAAAATTTTATAAACTACTTAAATTTACAATATTTGAAATGTTATTACGTAAATATCAAGGAGCTAGATAGTTAAATTATTATTTTACAATTCCAACAAATATTGTTTTAACTTCTAAAATTAAACCAATTTCATATAAGTATCAAGAATATTTTGAAGTTTAAAATTAAGTTGTTTGAAATTATCCGCATAAATTGTAAAGTAATGATTATACTTACGTTAGCAAGTACTATTGGTTTATCAGGGTTAAAAACATTTATCACTAATTATATTTTGAGATTATTTTGTCACAAATTTCCAAAAAATATGCAATAATTGTTTGGTTTTCAAAACATTTGTCTCTTTCGGTTCATTCGGTTCTATATTTCAATACATTTATTAAAACTTTTGTCTTAAATATATCTAATCTAACACTTGAAGTCTATTTTAAGTCAAAGAATTGTTTTGACAAAATAATTATTGAAAACATATCAATAATTCATTGATTGCATGTTTCAAATCAATTGTTATCTCTTTTATTAGACTTTTGTTTTGTATATAAAGAACAGAAATTGGTTTCTAAAGTCAATCAAACAAACAGTCGATTCTGTATTCAATTAATTGAAAGAATTGAAAAAA